AAGAGAGCCAAGTTGTTCATGCACTTTTGTGTACTTGTGTAAAGTACTAGCCTATTTACGCTCGATTGGAAGCGATTACATTTTAGTAAGCGACTAAATTTGCCGGGGTCCTACTTTATGAGGTAATCTATGCCATGTTTTTCCTATTATTACCGAGCCCAAAAAAATTTCTGATTTCACCTACCACTGGAATTGGGCACACTAACGTGATCTAATTTGCGTACGATTTAATTCGCAAGCATTTACTAGTCACAGAAAATAGGGAATTGCTAAATTCACACCCCTTTTCATTAGATTCACACCCTTCCTTCGAAATATTATATATACAAGGTTCGCAATCGCCGTTGGACAAAGACGAGTACTATCTCTGCCACTTGTCTACGGGCGTCATCTTGCGCGCTGCTGTAGCTGCTGGCACCGACATAGGCAAAAAGGTCAAAGCCACAATGGAGTCGGGCGCACTTGTGACCGACGAGATTGTCGTCGGTATCATTAAGGACGCCATCAAGAGTTCGAAATGCCGTCGTGGCTTTATTATTAACGACTTATCACGAATCCATGTGCAGTCCATAAGCACGACATGATGGTATCGGCAAGCAAGCCGAACACTTTCTTTGTGAGCGAAACAAAGAGAGGTTATTGCTCCTTCATCATCACATCTGTGAAAGTGCGTAAAATTGCTTGCTTGCAAATCATCAAAAAGAGCTTGTATCGGTGTCTTTCCATTTAGCTTGTCCTTTCGAAGTTTCGTACGCTTATAGTACAATGTAGAGAGGTTTGCTAGGGTACCGTCATTCTCCATAAGAAGGGATGAAATGATCTTTAACGGTTTAACACCAGCCAATGTCATATTTCTGACAGTATCGGCCTGCTAGCTATTTAGCTTTCTATGAGTCGAATGACCAGACGGATGGAGTGACGGCTCGTGATTGCGGCATCCATTCATCACGTTTAACTTCCAATTTCTCCTTTTTTGGAGAAATTTTTACTTAAATGGAACGGACAATCAACTCGGCGTGAGCTGGTCTGGCGTTGGCGCTCTTTACAAACCTTTGGTACGTTTACGGCACCTCGATCACATTTAAGGTAGACACGCTTTCCTGCAATCGAACTTTTAATCGTAACAGCATAGCCTTGGCCACGTGCGAACGTCTGCACAGTATCCACAAGTTGCTCCCGACTGGCATGCTCAACCTCGGGAGGAGGAAGCGTGTCTTTTTCGTGGTGCCCAATCAGTAAACGCTGGAGGAGCTAGGCCACAGGCGTGAGTAGAATCTTAGGTAATTCTTACGTATTACTTGCCAATTAATGGCCTAGATTATCGAGTCACACCTTTGTCAGAAAACAAATCTTAAAATGAATAGGGATTTTATATGTAAGGTTTTAAAAGAAGGGTGAGAATTTAAGTAAAAGGGGTGTGAATTTAGCCATTCCCAGAAAATATTACGGAATACAAAAATAACCTGATTTCGCTCATGTTGTGGTCACTACTGCTTAAAATATTCGCAAAGCATGGCTTTGAGGATTCCATGAGCAAGGGGTACCAACAGGACAAATATCAAGTTCAACACCTTATAGTCAGCCGTACAATTTGGAGGGACAAATGGTTAAGATTATCACTAGCGTGGTAGTAGGGTTGATCGTAAGCTCGCACTGATGGTATTCATGTGGGGAATTACTTAGATGCTTAGGTAGAACCAAATGGGCACGGGTGCAATTACTGCTAGATCCCATGATTTCGAGCAAACCATTCGATAGAGAAGTGCAGCGGTACTTTTCATAAGCATCCAGCAAAGATTGCTGTTTATGTGCCTTTGAATTGAGGTGAACAGGGTACTGATATTCAAGCCAAATTTGGCTAGCGATTGTATAAAAGTGCCGACTGCTACGGTCCCAGTAAATGCGCATTTCGTTGGCATAAACAGGATCAAGAAAGAGGCATTCTCATATAGTTGATGAAGCTGTACAGGTGTTTTATGAGCTGTAATCGTGCTATTGATTTCTTAAGCGGTAGAGGTATGGGCCAATGTCAGCATTGTTCAATCAATGCGACACACTTTGTCTTTTATGCATAAATTCATCATACTATAGCGCATAGTACGAAGTAGTCATGCGTTGTAAATTTTAAAGGGGACATTGTAGAAGCCAATGATGACATTGGGAACGAGTTGAAACTTGTAGGGACCGAACTGAACCAATTTCGCCGAAATTGAGAACCGTGATCCGATTATCAAATTCAAAACCGTTTATACTCGAGTCGGTTCTAGCCAGTATCGCTATTTGCTTACGCCGTATTAATGTTCTTCGAAGATGGGCATGGGCCGTAAATGACAGAGGGATCTTGTGCACAACCTTCTACGACCATTCATTGGAATATCACCATGCTCGATCGTTGCGTTCTCCCTGAGGACTCGCGATTTACGAAATCGGCTTTTAGTGCATTTTCATTAAGAACGTTAAATCGAGAACAAGCAGTCACAAAGTAACCTTGCATAGAACGATACATATTCAGCATATTGCTTATCAGTATCACGTTGTTGCATGTGTGAGCGCACTTTTTGCTCATCAGTAAACGTCGCGCGTGTAATGTACCTGGTAGAGTGGAATGTCATACCTTGATTCTTGTCATGTTCGACTTTTTCTTACTTTGCTTGCAAAAATTAATATAAGCGAAAGGGTGGAATACGTAGCTACAATGGTGGCAACTGCTGATGCCTAGTATGTAATCTCCGAAGACAATGTCCGTAGAGCGCTGCATCCAAAACCTTATCCAAAACTTATAATTTTAAAGAGTTATTTCATGCCAAAGTATGAAAAAGTACATTTTCATGCCAGACTGCACTGACCACGAATCGGTTGTAAAATGATGGAAAGCCAGCAGTACAATAATGCTCACTTGCGCAATCCCGAGTCAATTGACCACAACTGGTCAGTCAGGGAAAAGTAGGTAATGCATACCCGATCGATCACACGTTTGGAAGAGTTCTGTAATGAAAAAACTGTTAACTAACGCATCAAAGGTTCTGCCAGTTGTGTTAGAGTGTCAACCTGAAGCACTATATAAGTGGTCACCACGGTTATCCTCCTGCGTCCAATGTGAATCCTCAAATACCATTGTAACGGAACCAGAATCGTTAATCTCCCTGGCCTGATTGAAGGCAAAGATCCCGTCCATACCTCCTCACTAATCTTGGCTCTTTCATACATACGACGTCTTATCTAGAAGAGATGGGTACGTCATCTGAGACGGGTGCAATTCAGGAGGGTACTGGCTGGGGGCACGTTGTCGTTATCCGAATGGTAAGCGTAGCTGGACGTTGGTTGTTGCACGGCAACAGGCTGCACGTACACACGCTGCCCGTTGCAGTATTCATCCGAATAGCGGGTGTTACGGCGACAGCTGTCACCTGAGTCCGCAGTAGAGGCGCAGCAGGCACCACATAGGGTCCCACACAAGCAGCACTCGAGTATGTCGCACTCGTCCACGACAATTTGTCGAGTTTACTGGTCTGCGGTGCACTTGTGACGCTTGCGGCGCTTGATGGTGAGACCAGAAATTGATGTATGAAGTGAGCTTAGTTTGACCTGGCTCAAGTATTCTGAAGGTGTCAGTTCAAGCGGTACATGGTTCGTACATGACTAAGAGGATGCTGGAGCCAATGAGGAGGGAGAGATCGCACGATCAACAATGGCCAACCCGTGTGGGCAAAAGCTAGCCAAAGGCCGATCATAGGTTGCAATGACGACTCAGCTTGTTGAGTTTTGTGTCGTCGATATGGCTTGATGTTAAACACTCCTCTGGATCGACAATATAGGGGAGCAAGCATGTTCCCTATTTATTCATCTTTCCATAGCTTTGGTGTTCACACACAGTGCTGGCAATGGTGTCGCTTCGCTCTTCATTTTTTACTTTGTTGGTCAGCATGTCGCCTCTGAGAAATTCAGGACGATAACGATCACTTTTGCAAATTTGCACGATTTTCTCGAGCAACATGCTGCGTGTTGGTGCGTTAAATTGATCACAGCGGTATGTCACGGTTGATCTCATCATAGGTTTTGACATTCAGAGACCGTTTGATCTGGGATGCCGGGGTCGATGCCCTTGCTAGCTTAACCTCTGCATTCCATCGATCAAATTAGCATAAAACTAGAGTGCAAAATACAGAGCGTCAGCACTACCGGTAAGTACCACACAAAGGTATGGATGGTAAGTAGCGGTTTAGGTTTGATGAGGGCTTATTTTTTGGTCTGCCCATCCGGCCAAAATAAGGATAGGGTGGGTGCACATGCAATCACACGACATAGCGAGGCCATACTGTAGCCCTTTCATCTTGCACGAACCAAATTATCCAAAGATAGCCCTTGACGATGGATCATACCGTCTCATGCACATCTCGTAGAAGCTCATTGCATGCTGTCGGTAAGCAGATTAAAACATCGGTATGCAAGATTCAATGGTGTTCTGCTGGTTCAAAAAGTTGTTAGTTAGGGCCAGTCTCTACCGTACGTCAATACATGTCATGACTCTCTAGCAACTTCAACATCTTTACATGGTCGTCATCAAGACGGTGTCTGCACATCCATGTGCAGCTTCAGATACTGGCGCAAAAGCTGCTAGCGTTGCTACGTACCAGCCAACCGCTTAATACGTAGTCGCCCCGTCGCAAACTAACTCCGGCAGCTTCAGCTTCTGGCACACGTAACACCACACATTTCGGCTCTTTGCTTCGACCCAAGTAACTGCTTGATCTCACTTAGACCCGCCGCTGTAAATCACTTGCTTTGACGGTCGCGGTTGACCTCCAAATCCAGTAAAACAGCCGCCGATTTGACAACTGTACTACCACACGGATGGAAAGTTTTCAGCCATGAAAAAACATCTGCACAGAAGTCGGACACGATGGACGACGTTAAGACGCCAATGACGATCCGTTTATCGTTACGCAACAAGCATAAACAGTGCCCCACCGCGAGGCAGTGGTCTCCAGCCTGCGGTCGGCTCACGTCTGCTTCAAAAACAAAGGTGCGACACAGACGCTTTCCCAGCGCAGAGTAGAGCACACGATCTCGAACAGCCAGTAGCTGGATTTGAGCTGGCTCTGGTCGGCGATGGAACCAGCTGTCATCAACTCGCATCCCGCCACGTTGCCGGCCTCGTCATACATATGATTAAAGTGCGTCCTGCACAAAAAGACAAATGTCAGACGACAACAGATCCATCAAAACAAGCTAGTGACGTACCAGTGAAATAAATCGTAGAAATACTCATGGGCGTCTTGTACGCGTAGAATCTCAGGAGACGGAATCGCGCGCATGCAAAGCGTGAAGCCAGTCGGCGTCTGCATGCGGAACAAAACCTGCACCGAAGCGAATGTCGTGTCAATATTCGGGATCCGATGATCCCGTCGAATAATGACCAAGTCGTCGTTCATTTGTTGCAACACTTGGTACCGAAATTGAACCGAACGGTCAAACGACAAGTCTTTGAACTTTCGCGCATCGGTAAAAATGCCCCACGTCTTCAGCAATAATCCCTCAGCTGTCTCCAACGGAAACTGCTTCGTAAATCCATACTGCAGCGTCCCCGTGCTCTCGTCATACTTGCGCTTATCCGTCCAGCCCATAAAATTGGCACCTGTCGACTTAAAGTGCTCGGTCTGCTGAAACCGCTGGATCGCCTCGTACGATTCACGCACCAAAGCATAACATTCCGCTGTCGTGAGTTTCGTAAACTCGGCCTGGAACGACAAACTTGGTGGGACGCCCGTGTCCCACACCTCCAATTTGGCTTCCTCTCCTCTCTTTTTTTCATCAGCGAACCCATTTTCCACGGTCTCGTAAAACTCTTGATGAGGTCGCAGCAACTGCTGCAACATTCTTCGATCGTCTTCCAACCTTTGCACCACAATTGAGAGCTCGGCGTACTTTTTTGCCAACGCCAGCTCGTCAACATAAAAAGTACTTGCCCGTGCTGGCGCGAGCAACTGGCTCTTTCTACAAATGTCTTCGTTTTTCCAATAGGAATGACACCCCGTCGCCAGCGACGTCGACTGGCGTTTCTCAACCATGGCACTGTACAGCGTCTCGAGCTGCTGGACCTCGTCCCGCATCGTCTTGAGCACACGCTGCCGTCTCTGTCTTGACTTTTTCTCAATAGCTGACCGTCGAGCACGTTTGTCTTCCATCCCGTTGTCCTTAAGGAGCGTCTGGTGCTTCTTCCCACCACTGGGACTGATGTTCCGGATCCCCTTCTTGTGCTGCTGCTGGTTATGCAAGACGGACGCCATGGATGCCGGCGTGGGCGACAGGACCGAAAGGATCCGAGGACTATTAGTGCGACTACTACAACTATTACTACTGCTGCTACTGCTACAGCTGCTGCTATTTAGCGGTCGGGTCGTATGACCAGGTTTGAGCATTGTAGTCGCAGTGGGTACATCACTGGACGGCCGTTTGTGCGGCTTGAGCGTGGCCAGAGCCACTTCGTCGTAGTCATCGTCCAAGTCCGATAGATCGGCGAAAGCTTCGGAGAAGACGCGCTCGATTGTAGGCGAGAGCGGCGGCAGCGCCGAGAGCTCCAGTACGTCCATGAGTACAAGTGGAATACCGTCTGAAAGGTATTTGTTTCGTTGTGGTGGTAGCGGCGGTGGTGGTGATGTGGTAGCAGTAGCTGGACTTGATGGTTTCTAGAGTCTAAGGGGGGCGAGGGAGGTCGTGATGGATTGTCTGTGGTTGTTGCAGTAGTCGATTGCGAAGTAATGCAGCGCTGATGTGACGCCAGAAACCAGCAAGTGCGTCAGAGAGCACGGTTTTTGTCAGCGGTAGGTTTTCAAGTGAGACCTTGAGGGAACGCGTGATACCGATCAGGGATCGGTACGGTGGTCTGGCCTTGCGGGATCGTTCAATACAAAACGGATATCGCTGTTGTGGCGGCTGGGTTCGAGCGTAGCTTAAGACCGATCTGGAGTCTTTTTGTTTAGAACGCACGAGTTCAGTAGAAGATCGTGGGACTTGATCTGGCACCACGTGGTCAACGAAAATGATTTTAAGAACATAACATAGAGCGTCCTCTTCTGAACCTGAGCTTGTTCTAGCTTCGCGCCGTTGTTTGCTACATGGCGGGGTAGGCAAGGTCTGATACAGAGGAGCTTCTCGGGACTAAGCGGAAATCGTGTGATCATCGATGCCGATTTTGCGTTTGTGTGTAGTACACGTGAATATTCAAGTCAGCTTCATGCAACGCACGTTACTTAAGTCGGGTCAAGTTAGTCGCACTCATTACGTGCTCATCCGCAATGCGACAACTTCAACAAACTGTCCAATTGTTGCCAAAGGAGACACCACCTGCAGTACATGTGGCCTGCCGAAAACCGGTATGAGCACGATATATCGCGACTTATAATCAATGTTTCTTGATTTTAGAATGGGCAAGGTAGCACTTACGCAGTCACGAGAGTACCGTCCCGCCACATCTTATTGTAGCGAGCACATGGCGATAGCGTAAACGATGGTGTATACGTAAACGAGATGGTGAAGAAAGTTTGTGGGAGAGTTCAGACATTTAGTGACGTTATTATTTGGTCGTGCTACGAAAGACTTGGATCAAAAATAAATCTAGATCTGCATCGAACATTGACGTCTGCCGGCAGCAAAATGGTTGCGTCTGTATTCAGACACAATGAGGCGCTGCAAGAACTAAATACTGTCAATGCAAGTAGTTGTCAATGCAAAATAGCTGTGTACGCTCAATTTCCCGCTTGTCGAAACATCTCTAAGATCGTTAGTCTCGAATCTGTCTCGCCACAGTTTTGTGATCAGCTATTGGTCCGACAGAATGCAGACATACTATAAATAGGAGATTTGTAGACAGGTGGGGTCATAACACTCGACATGAACATTGCTATCCCTCTTAACTAGGTACAGCAGCATATTAGCGAAAGGTTGCTTGCCTCAAATGTGTAGCCTTCGATGTATAAAGAAAAGCTGACGTCAATCGTTGAGGAGATTACGACAATGTGGGGAGGATAAGAATTATCCTGTCGACGCGCGTCGATCTACAATGCACGTCTGATGGTCTGTATGGATACTGCATAGCACGTATGTGCATTCAGTGTGCTAGGATTTTACGTGTGCTCAACATCGTGCAGGTTTATACCCAAGTCTTGGCACTATCGTCGATCGAGGTACTGGGCCAAACACACATGTAGACAACGACGCCCTCTGACAAATACATCTGTAGACAGCAACGCTACACTCTATTTGTGTCCTTCTTCGAAAAAAACGCAAGATTATTCACGTCCAGCCGGCTTGTTCCTTCTCTCCACAAGCCCGCTAGACAAAAGAAACGTTGAGCAACAGACGTTATCGGCTAGTTGACACTTTTGGTGTCTCCGTGCCATCGCTTTGTACACGTCATTTAATCACACTGAATATCGAGTTCAGTATCGTGCGATTCAAATATTCCATTGCCGCACCCACAGTTGTTTTCAGGTGATCTTGCTTCTACAACAAACATCGTGACCTTTAGCTTATTGCATCCAGCCTCAGTCTTCTTGTATTCTACTTCACCGATTGTGATGTTTGCTTCAACCCTTCACTCCATCATAGGTGCAACCGAGAATGGGTATATTACTGGCATATCGAGTGTACACATCGAGCAAATTTTAGTCCCTCTTCCGTATGTGCGTGTTATTAAAAGTGCGCCAGATAGACAAGCCTTTTGCCGTGTCTCTTGCATTTGATAGCAAGAAATTCAGCCTTGAGTACCGCGCTTTGGGTTACAGGAGTGCACCTGCAGTCATTACCGATAATGATGTCCTGCCTTGTCATTTCGACACTTTTTTGCGTATAACATCGACTTTCATCGATTTGTGATGCAGCCAAGCAAAGAACTTCCACCAATATGAACGTTATCAAAAACGGCTGCGCTCAGTTGAAACTCGTTGACTGGTAAAAACAATGCTGGGATATCTGCACAACCTCGTAACACTGCACTCAGCTTGCGACAACATTTTGTCCTGTGCCATCAAACGTCTTGTCGGCAGCTGAGCGATTGGCTTATTGGTTCTCGTAAGCGTCCATGGTGCACCTTGTACTGAGCTCGAATAGCCTAACGCAAGATAGCGCAGGAAGGGTGGCCAGCAACCCAAATGCCTCGTACCGCCGGGCAACTTCGACGACCGGGCATGCTTACATTGTCTGCAACACGTGTGCTCACTCGGCTTTTTTCATTTGCGAGATGTCTGGCAAACGCTCGTCACCGTCATTCCAAATACTGCTTGGCAATACATTCGTCCACACTTTATTCTCACGCTCATCTTAAATCCATGAGGTCGTGAGCAATAGCATCAGCTCGGTCCTGCCGCCACGGGCTTGCACAACTCAAGCGATAGCTTTACAAAGAACCAGAATGTATATCGGTTGCTTTGCTCAAAGCCGTTTCAACAAGAGCGAACCGACGCATGCGTGTTCCCATCGCAAGACACAGCACACGAGTTCGAAAAGCCAATGTCCCGAATGCAACTGGTTCTGATCGTTCACCGATCCTCCCAGCACGACATCACAGCCCGCAGGCTTGTCCAACTCGTCAAACAACCGGTCCAAACGAGCCCTGTCAGCGAGCACAAAAAAAATGGCAGCGTCAGCGTGATAGCAACGACCGTAACAGCACGTACACCAGCCACCATAGCACAAAAGACTGCATGACGTACCAGTGGAAAGCGTCATAATAGCTTTCATACGGCCCCAGTGCTTTTTCCAGCTCAAACGTTCGAATCGTCCGGCTGCACGTAATGAACCCAGTAGGTGTCTGCCACCACGCAACAAGCTGGACCGAGACAAACGTCAGTGGCGACGTCGGAAACTTGTGGTCTCGACGGACGATTACCAACTTGTCATTCAGCACTTGCAGCACTTCAAACCGCGTGCGGCCGAAGTTACCGAACGATACTTGCCTCATCTTGTCCCCATTCGAATAAACCTGCCACGATGGGCCCAGCAGCCGCTCGGGCGTTTCGAGCGTAAAGCGTTTAGTAAAGCAATACTGAAACCTTCGCAGGTCCCGGTCCAGCTTGCGCTTATCGGTCCAGCCCATGAACGTGACACCGGTCGTTTCCACGCTATTGGCCACACAGAACGTCTCGATCTCGTGATTGGCGCTCTGCACGATACGGAAACACTCGTCAGAAGAGAGCTGACGGAAACGCACGGCAAACGACGGCGAGCACAGCGGAACGCCGCTGACCCACAGCTGTCGCTCGGGTTCCTTTGTCGCAGCGGCATCTGCTCGTCTTGTGGCCGCGACTCGCTCTCGCAGCAACTTGCGCAGTGCCGCGCGGTCGTGCTCGAGCGCACAGGTGACAAGTACCAGCTGTGCATACTGTTGCTGCAGCTGGTGCAACGAGACGACCGCGAGCGGTCGCTTGTCGCTGCCCCGTCGTCGCTCGCGTCTCGTCGTCGTCAGTGTCAACGCAGCAACACGCTGCTCCAGGTGCCGGACCTCGTGTCGCATGTCCGCAAGCGCCTTTTTCCGCTTCTGTCGTGACATCTTTTCGATCGCGGAGCGGCGCGCGCGCTTGGCTTCCGCGGACTCGGGACACGGCGCGGACGCGCTGTCGCTGGCTTTCCTGTCTTCACTGTCGTCTTTGCCCTTGTGCCACGTGTGCTGCGCGCTCACGCCGACTACCACTGACCGTTGGTTGCTCTTGCATCCCTGCGAGTGCGGTAGAACCGCTGGGAACAAGGCGCGCGCAGTCATAAGCGACGAATGCGGCATGTGTTCGTGCGCCATAATGGCTCTTTTCTTGCCGTCACAACCGCACTGCTATGCCGCACAATCTCGTCTGCCTCTTATTCTCTCGATGTTCGTGACCGCGTGACGAAACACAGTGCGCGGTTGAAGCACCGACCATCACTCTCACCATGCGCTAAAAATAGCGCGCAAGTGCGCCATAGAGTGCGCGGTTGAAGTGCAACCAGCCATCGACCACGTGCGACAATCCGCGCGCGGTTGAAGCGACGACCATCACTCACTCCTTCCACGTGCAGCACAGCCAATGCGCGGTTGAAGCAACGACCATCACTCTTACAAAACGCCCCCCCCCCGCCTCCAGGCGAGCCAATCGCAAGGCCGCATGGATCCAACCATCACTCCGGCACCGCACGAAGCCGCGAATGCCACCCTCGCCACGGCCGAGGACCTCGCGTCGCTCGCAGAAGATCGCTGTCCTCACGCCGATGTGCTGTCACGCGTGCTGTCCCTTGTCTCGCAAGACTACAGTGCGCCCGTCCCGTCCTGCGCAGCTGCAGCAATCCAAAAGGCACTGACCGACGTCGCGGATCTCCTGCAACGTCATCAGCTCGACGTTATTAACGACAACGATAGCAATGGTGACGATCGTCGTATCGTAGCGTACACGCTGGCGCAACGCACCGTGATTGAGCGTGGCCTGCGCCTGCTGTGGACGCACGTGACGACGTATCAACTACACGCGGCGCTGATTGACATGATGCGCACGATCGACTTTCTGCCGCGCGCGCTCGTGTTCTGGAAACACTTGAGGAAGTCCACGGTGCGGGAGATTGTGCAGCGAGGACCGATGCAGTGGATCCTCACGCGCGCGCAACAAATCACTGCGGGCGAACGGATCCGGAGCCTGGAAGAGACGCTGGACGCTCATTTGGTACGCGAGAAAACGGGTGTCTCTCAGTCATTGGGGTAGACCATGAACTAGAGGCAGTGTACGGGATGGGGATGAGATAACGGCGACTGAGGGGACGTTTGGTTGTGTGTGTATGTGGTAGAGGAAGATTGGGATGTTCAAGAACTTGACCATGAAGTGCGCGGGCCTGACTGCAGACTCTGAGCAGCTGGAGGCGAGGGTAAACGAAGGAATGACGCTTTTTGGCTCTCGTCTATAGTACACGCGGTATGAGTCCGCCACGAAAAGGCCGCGGAGCGTTCAAGTCACAGGAGCCGCTGGTTTTCACGGCTTTTTACGTTGATGCGGGTGAGATATTAGCACAGTGCGTGAAGATCTATCGATTGTGTGTTGACTGGCGTCGTCGTTTGTGTCTTTTTTGGTAGATCCACGCATTTTTGATAAAGGTCGTGACGGTGACATGTCACATGATGACGTGCTGCATTCGCTGCAACGAGTGGAGAAGAATTTGGTGGCGTTTCGAAGTGCACAGACTCAGTTCTCGCGGTGTTTCGAGACGGTGATCGCACCTTGTCGTCCGCCGTCCAAGATCCGTCAACGCTGGTTGCAAGTCACAACTATTGCCATTTGCCTGGCTGCTGGAGGTATATGGGTGGTCAATAACCAGCAGGAGTTTCGAAGTGGCATTGCCGCCATGCGTGCTGCTCTGCGTGACTTTTTGAACGAGCACATGATTGAACCACTTCAAGCCATCTTTGAAGAGGTGGTGCTGAACCAAAAGCCAGAGATCCAAGATGCGATGGCGTTGCTGGACACAAAGCAGAGCTTGCGTCGCATGCTAGCTGATTTCGTAAAGGACACGAACCCTAATGTAACACAAGCTGATATGAGTCGCATCATGGACGAAATGGACATGTCGGTGGTATCACTGCAATACGAGAAGCAACTGGCTGGTGCAGTTCGTAATTTAATCACGGGAGATATCGTCCGAATGCTACTGATCCAAGTTCAGTTCATCAAGAAGGAGTTGATGGTGGCTATGGGCGCTATTGATGAGCTGATGCATGCAAACCAGTTAAACTTGCAGATCCTAGCCACGATCCCTACGTTCCTCGTTTTTGGCGGTTTGTACAAATTGATCACCTCAGCTTTCCGCATGATTTACAAGCGCATGAGCGACCGACTTTACTATGACTCAAGTGAGATTGCTGGATTTTTACGCAACAACTTGCGCGACATCGAACGCCTCCTCAATAAGCAGAACCGGGGTGGCGTCGTTGGTGATGACGCAGTGCTGGGTGCTCGCGAGCTTGGCTTTCTCATCTTATTGCTGCACCAGCTACGTGACCTCTTCGAAGCCTACCGCACACTTTTTGAAGAAGAGGAGCAAGAGCGTTTTGAAGAGGACCTGGATGATCTCATTGGGGAGGGCCTGCTGGTCTCGCAACAACTGGCCGTCATTCAGCGCATGTACCATTCACACCCGTTCTTATACAGCACCAAGCCGAGCAAGTCGCGCTGGTTTTTGGATTAGTCAGAGCAAAGTGCCTTTACGTAGATGCATCACTCACATTAAACATATCTAGCTAAGCTGGTAGTCCTGCGGGGAGTAGTACTCGGCGAGCAGACGATAGATGTACGATGGCTGGTGGGCTCCAGTGTTGGTGATGAAAATCCTCACGCATTCGGGCGGGACGTAGTCGTACGCTGGGTTTAGCACCTCCAACTAGTAGTTCCAAGCACAGTAAAGATCACGCATGTCAGCATATGAAACGATTCAATCACAAAATCAGATAATTCGTACGGTCTCGACGATGTCCTCATAATTGTAGATACTAGACGGAGACAGGAGCTCGCTAAGAACGTCTAGATCGTGGGCATACAATGGAGATAGCTTGATCAGTCCTGCCACGCACACCACAGGCACCGAGCACTTTTTGGCAGCTAGCGCGATATTCTGCAGTCCAGACTGAGCAATCAGGCCACCATTGGCAACCACAGCGGCAGCAGGAACGACGACCTTGTTCACACGTGCCATTAAGGCAAACACAGCACTATCTGGGATCACTGTAACATGGATACCACTCTCTGCCAGAGCATGAGCCGTGCGTTGCCCATTCAACGACGGTGCAGATTCCACTACAATAACCTTGAACGAGCGCTTCTTCGCGGCCATCTTGAGAAAAGCCTCGACCGACAGTGATCTTCCAAACGTCAAGATCACCTCACTATGGATACCCGAGAACACACAATGGGTACAACCCGTAGAGTTAGCAAGCCGTTACATGACAAGCTACTTTGCACGCAATTACGTACTCAGTGTGGATGTACTCCATGGCTTGGTCCGCAATGTTTACGTGCAGACTGTCGATCTCATCCACGAGCTCGGCAATGCCCTCCATCACAGACTATGACACACGAGGACACAGCACCGTCGTCAATGTTCGCTGCTCACAAGAGTACACAGCTGAACAAAAGCAGCATATAATCCCCACTTTACCATCTTCAAGTCTGCAATCGGAATGGAGAGGTCCGTGTCGGTACCTGGCGTCAAGATCGTACCCAACGACCGCGATGAATTGTTGCTATGACTCGAGGAAGGGGCTGCTACGGGGGGGTGCAACTGCGCTGTCATCGGCAGCATTAGCCAACGAGAGCTTCAGAGCGTTCGAGTGCTCTTCCCGGATAATGTAGAGCACACGACGCACCACGTTGCCAATAACCAGCTCGTGGGCGTTGGCTTTAGTGAGCATGTGTCCCAGCTGATGGATCTTCTCCAGGATCTCCCCGGCCGTCGTCCACTTGGCTGTCTCGAGCTGCAGTACAAACGTCGTCGTCAGCCGTGCCGAGCCTGTACACTAACTGTATACTCTTGTATGTCATCAACATTGTGGATGCACGTATATACACACCACTTTGCACAGGACGCGAGTCGTCATTCGAGCTGTCTCGTACGAGCCAATCAATTGCCTGGTGTATACACACATGTATACAACAACACATTCCATCCTCTGTCAGCGCTGCTTCGGACCGTGAGTTTACCTACCCGTCCCTACAACCAGCAGCTGCAAGCAAACCTGCGCTTGAGACTCAGCACCAACTCGTCTACGAGCTCGCGCACCGCCGGCCACTCCTCTAGCCATGCTTTAAGTTCTCGCGTCGGCGCTGCCATCGGACGTTCAAACCGGAATCCTTTGCTCGAAAAACTTTCTGAATTTCAGCCAATCAACAAGCCCACAGTCAATCACCGACCTCCACAAAATACGTCAATCATTAAATCTCTAGAATTAGCAGCTAATTTAACATCCAAGACCAACAGAATAACCCGTAAAACATAGCGATTTATCATCACAGCGAGTATGCCACGCCACAGGTTCGCGTCTCGTCCGCTGCAGAGCAAAAAAAGCAAACCAAGCGACAAAAAAGTGAAAACCAACCCCTATCATTCCAGCCGCAACTGCGCCATGGTGTTGGGTCTGCTGCTGCGCGACGCCGAGGAGCGGCAGCTCTCGTTCGACTTTGAAATGATGTTACCCGAGGACGGTGACGACGGCTACCGAGACCGCCGCAACGGGGCGATCGTAGGGGTAGGAGGCGCCACATTTGGTCAACCAGGTGTCAAAAAAGACTTTAAACGCGGCACTGTCGTCTGTCGCCACTGGCTGCGTGCACTTTGTATGAAAGGCGACAATTGCGAGTTTCTGCATCAGTACGATATGTCCAAGATGCCGGAATGTCGCTGGGGCATGGAGTGTCAAGTGCCCGAGTGTCCTTTTCGGCACGTGCCGGACGAAGAGCGCGTAGAATGTGCTTTTTATAAACAGGGGTTTTGTTCCCACGGGTCGAGTTGTCGGTACCGACATATCAAATTAGCCAGGGAAGAGTGTCCGGATACTGCGGACTTTGCGTTACAAAGCAAAGTCGCCGATGAAGAAAATGTCAAGCGTCGGAAAGCCCAACCCGTGAATGAGTTTTTCAAAATTGCCATTTGTAAACATTGGGAAAAAATGGGGTCGTGTCCGTTTGGAGACGAGTGTCACTTTGCACATGGAGATAAGGAACTGAGGCCGTTTCCAAAAGGAGAGAAGGAGGAGATGGAAGCTCGAGCTGCGAGGTATTCGGGAGGTCACCATGGACCAAGTGGACCCGCTTTTCAAGGAGGAGAACGGATACAAAGACCTGCAATTACTGGAGCAAAACTGCCGGACGATGGCAAGCAAGTGAAGTACTTTTTACTGCAGTCGGCGAGTTATTTGAACTTGGCACACGCGGTGCATCATGGACAATGGACAGCGCCTGCAGATGTACTACAATTGATCAAGACGGCGTCAGAGACGTCTGAAGACGTGTTTCTGTTCTTTGCAGTGGGACCGAGCAAACACTATCAGGGAATGGCTCGGCTAGTAAACGGTGCACTGGCAAACACGGAGATATCAGCTGGTGAAGACTTGTCGACTAGTATTGTGCCCTATGAGGCTGATGGACGGTCTACGTGGTCTGGCGCATTTGACATTGAATGGCTTCGTATCTGTGAATGTCCGTGGGAGCGACTTGCTCAGTTTGAAAACAAACAACTTGCTGTTCCTGAGTGGTACGGAACCTGTTAAAGTCAGGTCGTTGCAGCTGAGTTTTCATGTTGGTGCTGACCTTCTGCTGTGTGCTTGTTTTACTACAGCCCGAATGGCCAGGAGCTCGACGCGGATACGGGGCATGCTCTCGTGCGCTTGCTGTCAAACCAGCCCGAGATCAAGCTTCATTACCGGTCCGTAGAAGATGAGCCCAAGCTTCCGGGGGGCGCAGAAGAGCTCGCGACTCGCCGACGGGATGCAGCAGAAAGCTTGTTTGGTGTCTCCAGCGTGCCTGGATTTGGTGGACCCGGACCAGCGTGGAAAGTCACGAAGCCAGGGTTCGTGTTCACGTGTACTACACAGACTATCGATGAGTGTTTCGGTCGCATGCTGTTTGGTCTGGCGACTGACAAGGAGGAACTGGCTCAGCAGCACGTGACTCCAGGCACCCCATTGTTTCTGCTCAATTTGTCGGATCAGCACCTCCTAGGTGTCTTCGAAGCCGTGTCTCCTGCAATTGTGAACATGATTCCGAGCGCATTTTGCCACGGTCCGAACATGCCATCGCCTTTTCCAGTCCAAGCACGATTTGTAGTCATGCTAAACGCACCCGCGTTGCCTGTGTCAGACCCACAGATTCAGGAAGCAGTTGGCGAGAAGGGCTTTGACGTTGGCCCGCTCTCGTTACGCGTAACGCAACAATTGGCAGGTGTGTTTGCTGCGCGCATCGGTGCCCCATTGAATGGGGCGCCGATGGGTCCTGGAGGACCCGAGCGCTTTCGTAACAAGCCCGGATCCAGCGGACCTGGTAGTCGATCCAATGGCGGCCAGGATGGGCCGAAAGACCCCAATGAGCCGGCATTTTTGCAGAAACTTGTGGTGGGCATTGAAAATGACAATGAGTTTGGAGTCACGCGTCGTATTATTGGACCTGCCGGGTCGAATATGAAACGTATTAGCGTAGAGGCTGGTGGAAATGCCAAGATTCGTGTTCGTGGTCGTGGTTCTGGGTCGAAGGAAGGAGGTCCAGAAGATGCTGATGAACCGTTAATGATTCTGGTGTCTGCGGAGAACGAGCGCAGCTTTCGCATCGCATGCACACTTACGAGCGAGTTGCTTGCTGTGATTCACCACGACTTTCAAATGTTCCAACAGCGCGGTCCGCCTCAGCATTTTCGTGGTGGCGGCGGTAACTTTGGCCGAGGTCCGCCTGGTCGAAGCCACCATTAGTGATGTGCTACATTGCTAAGTCACGTGATGCTTGCACTTGGTGGACGATTAAATCAGCTTTGCAACAATCAAGAAAGTGTCCATGATGCTCATCAACGATGCCTTTGCTAGTGATACGTAGCTTTCTGGATGTACCCACCTACTTTTTAACAACGTCATCGTACCCCATTACAGCGGCGCCGCTACAACACGCGCTTCGATGGCGGCACGTTCGAGACGGACTGAGCATACGACATCAACCGCTTTACAGACGTAAGGTACTTGCGCTGGGACTCATTGTTCATGACATGCGCCTGTTTGTTCGAGTTAATCTTTTCGCGGCCCGTACGTTCGTGAATACCCACCATGGTAACTCCAATCGGCCACGCTGCATTCCCGATTGCAAGCTTGATGTAGGCGTCATTGGCCATCACAAACTCTCCTTGACGACAAAACTTGACAATATCGACCAACTTGGGTAGAATATCCGATGGCACCTGTCGCTTTTTGCACAACTTGAACAGCGGCCGAATGTAATCTTTACACTGTTTCATGGTCTTGACCGCAATTTTTCCCTGCGCCGTTCGTTTGACATGGTCCGGTCGATTCGCCAAGTCATTCTCCCATCGTTGCAACATTCCTTTAAAAAACCGATATACCATTTTATCAGTATCTTTCTCCTCCTCTTCCTCTTCTCTCTCCAGATCATCTCGTGTCCTTCTCTTGCTCTTCCTCCTCGTCTCAACCGACGCTTCAAATTCCTCAGCGTCTTCGGCAGCATCATCAGCCTCTTCCTTGTGATCTCCCTCTTCTCCACCAATAAACCGATTACGAATATCATGTCCAGCTCCTAGTTCATCATCATGTTTCGTAGCAACATCCATCTCGACTCGACGAAGCCGCGTCATCCGGTCCAGCAAACTCTCTCCAAAGAGTGTAATAGGTTCACCCAATTCTCGCAGTCGGCGACGCAAATCTGGCCACGCCAAGAGCGCCTCCGGCAGCGTATTGTCATTTGTCTTGGTTTCAGTATACTCGGAATGAGTCGGTGTTTTGTGGTCCAATTTCTGCTTTTTTTGCTCGTCCTGGTGCTTTGTTTTAGTCTTTTGAATCACCTCCACTTGGTCACGTTCCAATAGTTTCTCCACTTCTGCGCGACGCAGGTACTTGTTTCCCTCTTTGTTTTGTATCAGCATCTTGGTCTTCTCTGCTTGGACGGCCGATATCTCCTGCTTCTTGGCGGTCATGACGCGCATGAGAGCTTCCATGGCGACTGTTTGCGATAATGGGAGTGGTAAAAAAAGCAAGAATTGTGACGAAGTCAAGTGCGTTTCTATTTTTGTGTCGGGAATGGAATGACAAAAGAAAAGATCGCAAGTCACAAATTGTAAATTGCAGCTTTATTTGGTAGTGTTCGTAATGCCAAGCTGATTGCCGTGGTTTGCTTGCTTGTTATCCTGTATCGAGACGGGATTCGAATGCATATAAACAGGTTGCACCGATGCTTTGTTCGAGGTGAAGGGATAGCAACGGTGGGCAGAAATTGATACAAATGTGAGAACGCTGCGTGTAAATAGTGAGGATTTGCGCTCGTATCGCTACCATGCGTACAGCAAAATGCAAGAATGCTACACTAAGCATACGGAATTGTAGAAATGAAACATAAGCATTTGCACCATGTAAAGTTGATGGGGGGGGGGTTGCAGCAAAAATGTCATACCGCTGATGGAGATTTGTTTCATCCTTCCTTTGCCACAGAAACTCGTACAGATACATGCATTTTGAACAATCCTACTCGAAACACGTTTTTCAGAAACTATATGGTGCTTTTCGTTCTGAACAGAACTTTGTTTTGATGTCCAAAGCTCTGCGAGGTCACGACGATATCGTGACATCGCTACGGTAGCTTTTCTATCCTAGATAACTGTATATGATGCAGATGTATGAAGCCGGATTATAGTGAACAGGTCCACAGCTGGTTGATGATCAATTCAGGTATCGATGACTCGAAGAAAGATCTTGAAAATGCACGTGAAGACATCAAAAGAATCTGGGCCCTTTTTTCTAAGCATTTTTTCAATCGGTATGTGTAATGGGGCACCCTTTGCGTGGGTTGCCACGAAACTTCACGTACACTAGTACGTGCAGGGGAATCTAATCTACTCGAACTGCTAGTTTAAGTAAAGGCAAAGAGAGAACTGTATCACATATAAATATGTAGGCTATCAATGTGACTTCAGTCTTTATCTAACTATACCAATCGACATTGTCGTACGACGACAACTTGCTCACCACTCATAACGCGCGTCTAGCAGCGATTGGTGGTAACCTTGGTTGATATGTCTTTTATCAGCCAATCTTTGAGCAGCGCATGAATATTATCCTAAAAGGAAAAAATTTCCTTCAATGTTATTCATCTCGGATAATATTGGTAGGGAATTGTCATACTAAACAATATTCCTATTGACACCGTTTGGTGTCAACATCATGTAACAAGCTACCCCGTTACAAATGTAATATGTATCAAAACCGTTTTGGCCAGTACTTTTGACAATCATCGCGCTAATCTGCGAGACACAACATTTGTTGCTCCACAGAAGACGTAATTATAGGTACCACTCTCCAAAATTACATGCTGTTAATGCCAATTGAAGCAAGATTATTCAGAAGAGCTACACTGATGACCGTAGTAAGCGTGGATTAAGAATTAGTGTGGGCTCAGAATTAGTGCGGTCCACATTAATACACGCACTAAAGAGAGTCTTTAATTTGGGACGTAGAGAAATAGCGCAGACTCCGTAAGAACTTTACAAAATTCTTAACCAATATACTGTACAGTATAATGATGTCATTATCGTTCTAATGTTGACCGTGTTTGTGCTTTTCTGGTAGTTTTAACGAGTATCGAGGCTTTGAGCTCTCCATCGACGATTATTGCTGCTTTTGCACGTACTCCCGGCGCTAATAACCCAGTAGGCGATGTATGGTGATGATAAACTAGATGCCAATGAAGATGTGGGAGAGGGAGAAGATAAGATTGAAGATAAGAGTCACGATCAAAACGATCAACTCGTCAACAAATGAAAGCGAAAGCTTCAGCAGGTTGTAGCAATAACGTTGCGGCTTACTGCGATTAATCGAATGATAATTGATGCAGACCAGAATGACAAGCAATGCTTGAACCTTAGAGCAATCGCCAAATTTCTCTCAGAGTTTCGCGTAAACTACAAGGTATGTTGGAACGAGCTTCTAGGTAAAATGTTATTTACACCGACTGTATGCAGACCAATCATTTCAAGCCATAAGGTGGTGGGAGATGCGCTATAAAGTTGTTGAATATGGTGGCATAAATCCAAAGTCGACATCAGAAGTTGTGCCATCAGGTCGAAAGAGGGTTAACGTTTTTGGCTGTTAATGGCAGAGGACGGGGCCAATCTGAATGGGTATCTTACCCGTACGTCTAGCTGCTGTCCGAAGTCATGCGGCTTAAGTCCGCTGAAGTAAAGTTCTTACCAGCCCTAATCAGTTAACTTGCTCGCACTGTCATGAACGATGCGCTATTTTATAATTCCGACTTTACTGATTCATTCGACGACAAACATATCGTCCACAAAATCAAGACGCGATGGTTTCATCACTTCGTGGTATATAGTATATGTACACTTGTACGTACACACTTTTTGCTGATTGACTTTTGTTACTGCGATAAGACATGACATAGTACATCAAGCACAGACCGGGAAGACTATGTACAGCTCAGCTAGCAATACCACATCGAGAAAACGGTTGCGTACCATATGGGCGCGTTACGCCAAGGTTTCGAGTCAGGACATCTGAACGAAGACCTGCTTTGTAATATGGACGAAATTCATTTCGTGATAAACTGTAACAACGAACTACAACTACACTTGGTTTCGTGGTGAAACAGAGATTAAATACGCCGATGTTTTGTCGGGTGGAATCAGGATGCACACGACGGTCCACATCACGGGCGGTTCTCGTGCGCAAATTGGTGCACCCATTATAATCTTTTACAATCCAAATCGATCATACCCTAAAAAGGGTTTTCCAGACGATTTCGCTGGTGCTTCATACCGATCTGAGCCTAAAGGATGGAATGATAAAAAGGTTGTTGTCTCATGCATCATGAATTATCGATAGTACTCCCTATTCATTTATTTTTCACACAATTCTAGGTATTTCCTCAATGGTTTGGCGAGCCAAACGCATTCAAGGAAGACAGTTTTGGACGAAAGACTGTCATGTATGTGAGCAACTATGCCGGACACAACGACAGTCCATAATCACGTGATGTTCTCGTGAAAACTAACACTGAACTACGCCCTGCGCGACCGATCTTGTTCAGCCTGATGACTCTTCTTTATCTCAACAATGAAGGACGAATGAACCCGATTGTGAGAGTTCGAGAAGCGCATGATAAAAACAAGCTACTGATCAGACGCCGTGCATAACAAACGGATTTTGGTTGGGAAAGCTAAAGAACCCGGGCAAACTCTTCTTCTTAAAACTCGCCGCCACAGCCTTACGCTCGGTGAAAGGTATGCGCGAAAGTTGCGGCTTGAAATACGCTCGTAAGTCTATGACATGTTGTGGCATGGAACTTGATATTGGCAGAAATGCAAGATGGTGATAGTGTGCTGAAGTTCGGCTGACCATTCTCGGCAGGCAGATGCAGCCACAATCGGTTTATAAATGGTTGGATGGTATAAAGCGTATGAAAAATTGTTTGTAGGACGTTATCGCAATATTACTTCTACTTTCACAGCATCCTCTATACCTACGAAGTCTTGCAGATTTTGAGCTTAAACGGCGAAGAAGTCACTGCGGCTGAAGGTCGTCAGCAGCGCAGGGCAGGAGCCGGTCGCGAAAGGGCCGGCGCCCTGGAGTAGAAAGAAGTGGTCAAGGAAGTTCCATGATAAACGCATAACATGCTGATGGACCTTTTCACGGGCCTCACGGTGTAACGGGGTGAATCGTTACATAACAATTTATAAGAAATTGTTAATAGAATATAACTATAAGAGTTATATTCTCAGAATATTGTCATAAGGACAATATTCTGTAGCACTTCCAAGTAGTTCCTAATTGGTTGATATAGGCCATTATATCAACCAACGAAGACGCGCCACGACAGACGCACGCAATGAGTGGTGAGCAGATAACTGATTTACACATTTGTATTTAGACATAGTTAGATGAAGATAAATAGTGATTTATTGCAGACATTAACTATTATAAATACAGTTCTACTTTTTACTCTAACCGAGTACTCGCTTCTTCTTACCGTCTTCCTCTGCACGTACGAGTGTACGTGAAGTTACGAGGCACCGCCTTATTCTGTTATCAGAATAAGTAGCTTGTACTGTCACCAGTACAAGCTTCAGGAGTGCCCCGTTACACCTGGTAGCACTTCGTAGTCCGTCCAAGGACCGCGTTCACATCCAACATGAATATGTTGGATGATGAAAGATGACCAAAGCTTTCACGCTACGCGTGACGGCTACTCCCATTTGAGCGATGTCGAATGGGATGCGGTTGAACGAATGGGTTCGACCATGGGCATCCATGCTGTTAGCGTCATGCTAGAGGCTCTCAATAGAGATGCCCAACATGCTACTATCGCCAAGTTCATTCAAAATGAACTTGACGCAGAACGCGAGAAAGTAGCCTTGCTTCACCAACAAGGTTCTCAACAAGCAGAGTTGTTGAGAGAACAAGGTGCTCAACAGTTTGAACTGTTGAGACAGCAGCAGGCTGCTGCTGGCGGGTCGATGCACTCGCGTCGGCCCGAGACTTTGAAGATTGACATCTCAAAGTATAGGGGGGTCGAAGAAGACTCCCTCTTGAGATGGTTCGTCGAGATTGGATGACGCCATAAGGGCGCGTCGCATCGACGACGGGGATATGCAAGTTGCATTTGCCCAGTCAAATCTGGCAGGACGTGCCAAGACTTGGGCACTGGGGCTCAAGCTGCACGACCCATATGCGTTTGGGTCGTTGGAAGTCTTCAAGTCGCGGCTCAGACAAACGTTTGAACCGCCTAGAGCTGAGTTCAGAGCTCGAACCGAACTCTTGAAGCTCAAGCAGGGTAAGCGTGATGTGCACGCTTACGCTCAACATATACGACATCTCACGAGTTGTATAAGTTCCAATCCGGTGGATGAACACACGTTGGTTTCGGTGTTCATGCAGGGTCTTGCGGATGGTCCCGTCAAGACTCACCTGTTCCGGCTTGAACTAGATTCAC